TATTTTGAATAAAAAGAGGACATGCTGGCTATCTAGATTGATGGGGACAAATTTTTGTTGTCATTGAATTACACTGTTGCTGTCATTTGTATTATACAATCCATGCTGACATCAAGATATTGCTGATTTACTATGTGGCTATATAAATATACATAATAAAGTGCAAAAATGGTCAGTTTTTGTTGATGCGTTAAAATAATTTTGATACACTAGTCAGCCTGAGGTATAAAAATTACTGAAATTTTGTTGCGAGCCATATTTTGAATAAAAAGAGGACATGCTGGCAATCTAAATTGATGAGGATAATTGTTGTTGTCATTGTGTTGCAATGTTGCTGTCATTGGTATTATATAACCCATTATGACATCAAAATATAGGTGATTTACTATGCTGCTATATAGATTTACATAATAAAGTGCAAATATGGTCAGTTTTGGTTGATTCGTTAAAATAATTTTATTATACGAGTCAGCCTGAGGTATCAAAACTACTGAAATTTTGTTGCGTGACAATATTTTAAATAATAAGAGGACATGCTGGCAATCTAGATTGATGGGGACAAATTTTTGTTGTCATTGTACATGTTGTATTGCAATGTTGCTGTCATTTGTATAAAACAATCCATCCTGACATCAAAATATTGCTGATTTACTATGCAGCTATATAGATTTACATAATAAAGTGAAAAAATGGTCAGTTTTGGTTGATGCATTAAAATAATTTTGTTATACGAGTCAGCCTGAGGTATCGAAACTACTGAAATTTTCTTGCGAGACAATATTTTGAATAAAAAGAGGACATGCTGGCAATCTGGATTGATGGGGACAAATTTTTGTTGTCATTGTACATGTTGCATTGCAATGTTGCTGTCGTTTGTATTACACAATCTATCCTGACATCAAAATATTGCTGATTTACTATGCGGCTATATAGATTTACAAAATAAAGTGCAAATATGGTCAGTTTTGGTTGATTTGTTAAAGAATTTTGTTATACGAGTCAGCCTGAGGTATTGAAACTACTTAAATTTTGTTGTGAGACAATATTTTGAATAATAAGAGGACATGCTGGCAATCTAGATTGATGGGGACAAATTTTTGTTGTCATTGTACATGTTGTATTGCAATGTTGCTGTCATTTGTATAACACAATCCATCTTGACATCAAAATATTGCTGATTTACTATGCAGCTATATAGATTTACATAATAAAGTGAAAAAATGGTCAGTTTTGGTTGATGCATTAAAATAATTTTGTTTTACGAGTCAGCCTGAGGAATCAATATTACTGAAATTTTGTTGCGAAACAATATTTTTAATAAAAAGAGGACAAAAATATTTCCAAATGTTTTAACCCTACATAAATTAACAGATTGACACATTCCCCATTTCCATTCTCAACTTTATAATTAAGTGCAAATATGGTCAGTTTTGGTTGATGCGTTAAAATAGTTTTGTTGTACATGTACCAGTCAGCCTGAAGTATCAAAACTACAGATAATATATATATTTATTCCTGAGACAGTTACTGTAACAAAAAATGTTATATTGGAGCCAGTCTGAGATGTGAAAACTACTGATTTTTTGTCGATGCAGGACGTGACGGCCATACTGCCATGACATCCATAGGATGAAACGGCCATACCCCGAAAAGATGAAACGGACATAGGACAAAAACGGCCATACTTTGTAAAGACGTATCGTCCATGTTTTTTTTTTGATAGATGTTATATATGAATCATTTTGATACTTATAGATGGTTATTATAACTTTTAAATAAACTTTACTGTTTTTATATTATTTATCATGTTTAATTTTGTTATATCATTTGTTTACTCATTATATATATATCATAAATGAATGTGTTTAATCTAATAAAATATTAAAATATCATATTGTTTTCTAAATGATTTTTTGATATCTTGCGTATAACAAACAGAACAAAATGAACAAATATGAATGACTATATCCGAATGGGAGACTAATTTCTGTCAAAATTAAAACAATAAGTTCAGTTTTGAAATATAAAACAAGGTAATCAAGTAATGATTAAGTTTGAAATTTAAGAAGATTGTTGATTGCTTATTATTACTTCTTTGATGAACACAAGTATTAATTATGCTTTTGTCAAGAAATTGACAAGGAAATACAATTCAAGATCACTATAAAAACACAACACCCAAGCGGAGTTTAAGCGGAGTACAAACATACATTTGGTAGTGAAATTCTTGTAAAAATACAAGCTGTTTGAGCAGTCTTTTTGATGTACCGACCTTGCTTTATAAAAGTAACCAGAAATGTCGGTGGCACTCATTTGGAAAATTGCTGTTCATCATGTCGTACCCTTGTGTGCTATGTGACCAGCAAGTCCGACCAAGACAACAATCCAATCATTGGGCGTGTGTCTCTGTTTAATGCAAAGTATACAAATTTCGGAGGTGTTAATCCTTTAATTAGTTTACGTGATTGCCAATTATCAAACAATGTTACAAATATTAATGTGAATTTATATATTTTGAATTATATTTTGATATATAATATTATATTATATTTGACGTTTTTTTTTTATACTTTTTTTGTGCAAAAATACACAATTATATTTTGTTTCACGACTTTTATACATATGTTTTTCGTTTAGGCTCCAGCAGTATTAGAAGCACCACCATCACCAGCACCAGCATCACCCCCACCAGCACCAGCTTCTCCACAACCAGCACCACCATAACCCCCACAACCACTTGACGATACGTTACCAGACCATTCATTTGATATTACACTTGAAGTAGCAGAAGAAAATCCAGTTGTTGAGATGTATTTGGTTTAATTAATCATATTTTTTATTATAGTCTCTTAATTTTTTATTACTATTTCAAATTAATTTAATGTAATAATTATTAATAAATTATTTTAAAGTTAATAATGTTATTTTCAGGCAAAAGAATTATTTAATAATTTTAAGTCAAACTGGTGTATATTGTAAATGTTAAAAATAAAGGTGTAAAAATATGTTTATATGTATATGTTATATCTTAAAAATCTCTCATAAATCTTTTTAAGATTGGTGCATACAATACAATTTTTTTAATGTTTTAAATTTATTTAAGTGAATCTCTCTTTATGATTGTGCCAGCCTTCCAACAAGAAGCCAAGACCGTGTCCATCACACAGCAGCTTGTGAGTGAACAGCAGCTCAGCCGATATCAACGAGACACATACAAGCAGCTTCAAGGCCGTCTAACTTCACTGTGGGACCAGTACGAGGAAGACAGTATCAGAACATCAGACTTTCTCCATTCCGTAGGCCATCTGTATGCACCCCCTGTTCCACAACCAGAGACCCTCCCAGAGTCCGACTCTGAAGATTCCGACTACGAGTCTGATTAAGTGTTAATTGTAGTGACTTGATGAACTCATTGGTTGTGCTTATTCTGTGTATAGTGCTTTGTTAAAATAGTAACTTTAATGAGTTCATGAAGTAATATGTGTATAGTGCTTTGTTAAAATAGAAACTTTAATGAGTTCATGAAGTAAATGATCATAATATAGTATATTTTGGTATGTTTAGTGCTTTTGTTTCAGTTGTGACTTTTATAACTGCATGTTTATGTATTTTAGTGCTTTATGATATAGGTTATATGTGTGAATGTGAATATAAATGTTTGATTATTAGGTGAAATGTGTATGCAGTGGAATAAATGAATGAGTGACATGAGCATATGAGAGAAAAAGTACATGTGTATGAGATTGTTAATTTAAAAAATGTATATAAGATGAATGTTCAATGGCATATGTATATATGTATGTTCTTACATTTCGATGTGTTTGATTTTCTACATCCCTGAACGAAAAGAATAATATATATGAGTGTTTTGTGTATGTATGATGTATGGTTTATATGTTTGTTGTATATTTGTTTATCTGTATGACTGAATGAATAAATAAAATATATTAAACAAAAATATTATCTTTTTGTTTCTTATACTAGAGAATATTGGTATGATTGTCCATAATACAATTCTCCATCAACAAATGCACAAAAAATGGGAACATTTAAATTGTCAACAAATAGTATTCAACACAATGAACAAACTTAAGCAAAAGAACATTCAGTATGATAAAAATGAAACTGGTCATCTTTTATCATGTTATTAGGGTGTACATTCCTGTCAGATATTACGGGTAATTTGTAATGTTATTGGAAAATTCTACAGTAGTCTCCGTCTTGGAAAGATGTTCAGCAAATGGAATGACTCTAAACTATAAGAAAGAAAAAAAATACAGAATTATTAAACTATGTGTCTGATGGTCATGACAAATATAACTCGAACTTGATGAATTGCCTTCCTTAGAGTTAACCTTAACACTGAGTCCTGTTTTAAATTTCACCAAGACTGAGATTGAGAAGATTTTTATTGTTTAGAATAATATATTTTTTACAGATATAATAAAAAGATCTGTAACATGTGCTTGTATTTATATATCGTCATCGACAGCGAGTCAACATTCCTACAGTTTACCCAGCAGGCACTCAACGTTGAATAAACGTTGAAATGAGGTTGAAATGGTGATCAACGTGTATTCAACGTTGAAACAACGTTACATTTTCAACGTTGAGTAATTAACAAATATTCAACGTTGAATTAACGTTGATCATTTCAACGTTGAAATCGGAACGTTGATTCAACATTGAATAAACGTTAACTTATTTACTCATGGTAGGCCTATATTAGTCCTATATAAAAAAAATCATTAATTAAAGGCAATACATGCATGAACGTAGCAGTATATATTTATAAAGAAAAGAATAAGATAGAGTTTCGGTTTTCACAAAAATATCATGATAAAATGAGATCTCAAATAAAACTGAATTCTGTGTATGTGGGAGGAGGTAAATCGTTTGATACTGAATTTCTAGGTAAAAAGAAATAGAATGCATTAATTTCATTTCACATAAAATGAATGAATATTTTGAACATGTTAAGGAATTTAAAATAGTTGATTATTAACAAAAATCATGATTTTTTTTTATATTCATATTTTCGCGGGATTTGAACAGGAAGTTAGATTGCCCATGCGCAATATTTAAACCCGCATCTTTCCTGTTTTGAAAAAGAAAGAACAGCAAAGAACGAAGTCGAGGAGAATCTTTCCGTTTATCAAGTATGGTAAGTAGATGTTTCTATGTAGACATCACGGTTTTTATATACATGTATGAATTGTATTTAAAAACTCTGAATTTGTATCAATATTGCACAATTAGAGAAAAATATAACGTCAACATTGTATCCCTGAGGCTGAGAACAGATCAGAACACATGGAAGGGCCATAGTGAATATATCATCTGGCATATACAATTTTATCCAGTTATACTATTTTTAAAAGCATTTAATGTGGAAAGCATTTTTATTTACATTGAGACATTAATATGGTTAAAGATTTTAATTAAAAGGGGGGATATACGCATGGGTTTACATAATTTACGGTGATCAGATGAATTTCCAAACATGTATACTATATATATATGTGTCTTTGTTTAGTTTAACTTTACGGCTTGGTAAACTACATACATTTTGACGATTATAAACAATCAACTTCGACTGGACAACAAAGTATTGAACGATCATGTGATGGAAAAATCATACTATTTTTACTTGTACAATAACATTATATAATTCAACAAAATAGTATTATTTCACGCTATGAGAAGATAACTATAGAATTTTCATTGATAACTTTTGACCTAATTAACCTTTCTACAAAAGTATTCTATTTTTAAAACAAGTCAGTCTGACCCTTATCTGATCTTCAGGTGATCTCTGACTGTGTGTAATACGAGAAATGAGGTTAACATTCAATTTGCATCTCCATGTGCGCACTTTCAATTATGACTACTCTTAAATCAACATGACCATACATCAATACAAAAAGACGACACAACTTTAAAGAAAACAATAACAAGGAAAGGTCTTTTATTTTTCTTAGTTAAATAATTGCTAAAAGTTTCTAATGTATGTAATAATGACATTATTACATGCATTAGAAACTTTTAGCTATTAGTTAACGAAGAAAAATAATAGAATTATCACCTGCTAGCCAAACACAAATTCAACAATATGTATTCGACAAAGACAATTATTTATGTGAAGGGTAGACTATAATATTACACATACATGTATAACACACTAAAAAGAATAAGCTGAATTTAGTATTAAGAACATGCGTTTAGCATGATTGAGAACATACATGTACAAAGTAAATACTATCATGTAATGTTTCTCACTGTATGTGTATTGAACCTTGCGCTGAATGTTAGCAGTCCATTATCGTAAACATGTATTATTTATTTTACAGAATCTTGTCAAACAAATCAATGGCTGAAATGCATCAAGTGGAGCAAAATTAAAATTCAGTTTTGGGAATTCCAGTCTATAAAATCATTGAAGGTAGGTTTTTTGTCTGTATATATCATTTGTGTTCAAAGTTTAATCTTGTTCATTCTATTTTTGTTAACCTTACAATCCATATTATGTTTCAGTGTTTGTCTTATATACAGTATTCTAGTAAAGCTCTTTATTTCATGTTAATAGACTTGTGCAGTCATCAATAAAAAAACGTCATGGGTAAAGTGTTTTCATGGTTATCAATTACATAGTCAAACCTGCAATCTTACAAATCTCGAGTAGATGCTTCTTCATTAACAAAAACTACTAATAGTAAACATTTATGCATATATTTTTTTGTATTAATGATTACCTTATTACAATATGTGTTTTGTTGTTATGGTTTTATTTTTCATTGCTTCTAGAAATAAATTGAAAGTGGCTCAAATTTAGAGTATCTTTTCAGGACATACAATTTATTAAGTCTCCCAAACGAAGTTTGGGAAGACTTATTGTTTTTGCTCAGTTCTTATTATTATTATTATTCTTCTTCCTCTTCCGCCGCTTTTAAATTTGAACTTGTCCGCACCCGTTCTCCAAAACCGCTTGTCAGATTAACTTAGGGTTTCACAATATGTTAGACTAACATGTCTAGTGGTGCAATCAGGGTTTTGTTTGTGCAATGGGGTTTATAAAGGGGTACTTTGAGGGGCAAAAAGAAAAGAGGGTTTTACTATAGAACCCTATGGGATTTTATTTTTTTAAATTTTCAAATGATTATAAATTGAAAACCGTTTGTGATAGACACAATCTTTTTAATTGAAAATGTTCTAAATGATAAAACCCATTAAATGAAATACAGGGTTAGTCCCCAGGGGTCACCCCACCCCCTGCCATTTAAGAAAGTTCTAATACCTTGTAGGTGGTCAAGATCCCCACCCCTAAACCATATATATTCTGGTTTGTCATGCTAAGATGGTTTGAATGATTAACAGGGTTAGTCCCCAGGGGTCATCCCGACCCCCTGCCATTTGAGAAAGTTCTAATATCTTGTAAATGGTCGAGATCCCCACCCCTAAACCATATATATTCTGGTTTGTCATGATAAAGCACATGAAATGAAATACAGGGTTTGTCCCCAGGGGTCACCCCCACCCCCTGGCATTTAAGAAAGTTCTAATATCTTGTAAATGGTCGAGATCCCCACCCCTAAACCATATATATTCTGGTTTGTCATGCTAAGATGGTTTGAATGAAATACAGGGTTAGTCCCCAGGGGTCACCCCCACCCTATGCCATTTAAGAAAGTTCTAATATCTTGTAAGTGGCCAAGATCCCCACCCCTAAACCATATATATTCTGGTTTATCATGCTAAGATGGTTTGAATAATATATAGGGTTAGTCCCCAGGGGTCATCCCGACCCCCTGCCATTTGAGAAAGTTCTAATATCTTGTAAATGGTCGAGATCCCCACCCCTAAACCATATATATTCTGGTTTGTCATGATAAAGCACATGAAATGAAATACAGGGTTAGTCCCCAGGGGTCACCTCCACCCCATGCCATTTAAGAAAGTTCTAATATCTTGTAAGTGGTCAAGATCCCCACCCCTAAACCATATATATTCTGGTTTGTCATGCTAAGATGGTTTGAATGATATACAGGGTTAGTCCCCAGGGGTCATCCCGACCCCCTGCCATTTGAGAAAGTTCTAATATCTTGTAAATGGTCGAGATCCCCACCCCTAGACCATGTATATTCTGGTTTGTCATGCCAAGATGATTTGAATGATATACAGGGTTAGTCCCCAGGCATCACTAATGCATATTTCTAATACCTTGTAGGTGGTCAAGATCCCCACCCCTAAACCATATATATTCTGGTTTGTCATGCTAAGATGGTTTGAATGATTAACAGGGTTAGTCCCCAGGGGTCATCCCGACCCCCTGCCATTTGAGAAAGTTCTAATATCTTGTAAATGGTCGAGATCCCCACCCCTAAACCATATATATTCTGGTTTGTCATGATAAAGCACATGAAATGAAATACAGGGTTTGTCCCCAGGGGTCACCCCCACCCCCTGGCATTTAAGAAAGTTCTAATATCTTGTAAATGGTCGAGATCCCCACCCCTAAACCATATATATTCTGGTTTGTCATGCTAAGATGGTTTGAATGAAATACAGGGTTAGTCCCCAGGGGTCACCCCCACCCTATGCCATTTAAGAAAGTTCTAATATCTTGTAAGTGGCCAAGATCCTTACCCCTAAACCATATATATTCTGGTTTATCATGCTAAGATGGTTTGAATAATATATAGGGTTAGTCCCCAGGGGTCATCCCGACCCCCTGCCATTTGAGAAAGTTCTAATATCTTGTAAATGGTCGAGATCCCCACCCCTAAACCATATATATTCTGGTTTGTCATGATAAAGCACATGAAATGAAATACAGGGTTAGTCCCCAGGGGTCACCTCCACCCCATGCCATTTAAGAAAGTTCTAATATCTTGTAAGTGGTCAAGATCCCCACCCCTAAACCATATATATTCTGGTTTGTCATGCTAAGATGGTTTGAATGATATACAGGGTTAGTCCCCAGGGGTCATCCCGACCCCCTGCCATTTGAGAAAGTTCTAATATCTTGTAAATGGTCGAGATCCCCACCCCTAGACCATATATATTCTGGTTTGTCATGCCAAGATGATTTGAATGATATACAGGGTTAGTCCCCAGGCATCACTAATGCATATAACTTTACTGGACCAAACCAATTTTCACTGGACTTTGCCCATTGTCAGGCGACCCTGGGAATTACGAATTATGGGAGCTTCGTTTGGGAGACTTCGTAACAGCATCCTGTTACAATCATTTCTTGTATGTATTATCATCTTATCTTTTCCAGAGGTTAAATATGCTGCAAAAGTATAAAGATGTCACTGAGAAACACATATCTGATAAAGATCCCTCCTGCTTGAACTTGAAGTCTGCCTCAGAAAGATCTCGAAGTGGTGGAAGAAAGTTGACATGCAAAAAGGACAAAAAGAGACAAAAGATAGCAAATGAATTTATAAAATAAATCTTGTATCAAAAGAAATATCATTGTATTACTAAATTTGATATTGTTCCTCAGTAAATTTGTATTCATTTAATTGTTTATACCAATTATAGGTGTGAGGGTAATATATATATTTACACGTATATACAATCAAGGACAATTGGTTTTTTGTGGAGAGGTGTCTGATTTAATAGCAGTCATGCAGCATCGTCGTATTTTCAGAAGTATTGCTATCATCCTGAACACAAGTTGGATCTAATAATGTCTTCACTCTTCTTGGGATATACTACTTTTAAGAAGGGCTTAACATTGGTCAGTCGTTTAATATTTAAAGGACTATTTGTTTAGAACTATTCAACATCTTCTTTCTGTTTGGTGATGCTTTCTGTGGTGGTAATAAAGTGTATGTCATAATTTTTATTCAAATTCATTGAATGATTTGTATTTTTATAGCTATTCACAAGAAGAAAAACTACAAGTAAGAATATATCAAAAAATGGCAGGTGTCCACTTGTATATCAATTTAGATAATTATGTTTAGTTATCTTGAAATACAATTGGACACACACAATAATTTCAGCTATTCCTTCTTGTAGTTTTTCTTGTTCCTAATAGATAAATACACATTTTTCAATAAATTTAACATTTAAATATGAGAGACACAGAAGCCAACAGGATCTTAAGATATGACATTTATGGTCTAGATTATTGACTGTACAAGCACGGAATGTTGTATCAGTAACAATTGATGTATTTATTTAGATGTCTCCAATTTAACTTATCTGTCTTGGTGAGAAAAAAAAACATTAAAAAAAAACCTGTACAGCCAGGCTGCCTGTCTACATCTAACAACAGCACAAAAATTGGAAAGCAGGTATAAATGTGTATGTAGCTTTATACTAAATTTTATTAATGAACTTTCAACTACTATTCAACCTTAAATCAACGTTGAATGGATGTTGGAACCTCAACGTTGAAATTTCAACGTTAATTCCAATTTTCAAAATCAAACATAAATTTGACATTGTTTCAACGTTGAGAAACAACCTTGTTTCAACGTTGAATCAACGTTGAGTGCCTGCTGGGTAAACTTCATATAAAATAAGATGCCTTTATATCACATTACAATAAAAATGATACTTCAGAAATTGTTTATAACTGACAATGAAGAAATAATCAATATACTTGCATAATATGGCCCCAACAAGTTGTAAACACGAGTGATGATGATCAAGCAAAAATAACTCTTGCAAGAATAAATAAGATCTCTTGTACAGAAAAAAATACTACAAAATCATATTAATGTTATTATTATGAATAAATACTTATTTCATTATTATATTTTATGTTATAACCTCAATAAAAAAAATTTTTTAAAGTGTGGACGATACGTCTCACAATGTGTGGCCGATATGTCCCATGGACGATGTGACGGTATGGCCGACACATCCTATGGCCGTCATGGAAGTATGGCCATCGCGTCTCGAAAGCCGCCCGATTTGCCTTTATCAGGAACGCTCAAGGATTTATAAGAACCGAAACACCTTAAGGGCATAAATGACCAAAAAGGACATAAAAATAATAGCCAAATCCATCAAAGGTCAACTTTTCCTGAGAAGTACCGATTATCAGGTTGTCTGCATATTGGTCTTTCTCTTTTTTAGTCATGGCGTTGTCAGTGTATTTTCGACTTATGAGTTTGAACGTCCCTTTGGTATCTTTCGCCTCTCTTTGTCTGCATATTGATATTGTAAACTATTCGCTGCCAGTCACAATATGAAGCTGTTTGTCGAGTGATCGCTGCAAACTAGTTCAAAAAGTCTTCATATTATGTCGAGCAGCTATTATTTTACAATATGAATATGATGAAAATCTAATAATCGATTTATCGGATTGTACTTGAGTATTTTGCTTGATAGAAACAAGTGTTTTTCTTTGTTTCACCAGCAAACTGGAAGATGACTTGATAGGTTCGGGTCAAACGTATCAACGTCGGTTCATTCATAATGACGTCGGTGATATGTCTGGGTCAACGTTATTTAGGCCGGCTTAACGTATATGCAATTTTTATGAAGAGCTGAGCAGACTGATACAGACAGTGGGAACGGTATAGGTATCGATCCAGTGCAATACAAAAAATGATAATGCGCTTTTCTTGATTAACCTTCATCAGGAACGCTCAAAGTCGAATATTTGAAAGCCAAATCAATCAAAGGACAACTTCGCCTGTTGGAGTTGAAACCTTAGTTTCATTCAAATCTCTGTTTATAAACGGACAATTTAAGTAAGTCATGCTATAATAAAGTCAGTACTACTAGCTGACGGTACCATCGAGAACTGATAGTTCACAAGCAGCGACCCAGTGCAATGAAATAAAATGATAATAACACTTTGTAAATTGCATGCGTCCAATACGCTTTCTTGATTTACCTTCATCAGGAACGCTCGAAGCCGAACATTTGAATGTATACATTTGAATGTATAACAACCTAAACAGTTTGAGAGATTTATAACAAAAAGGACCTAAAAATAATAGCCAAATACATCTAAGGTCAATTGATCTGAGGGAGTTAAACCTTAGTTTCTTTTTAATTTCTTTATTAATCAATGGACAATTTAAGAACGGTTTGTTATTAATGATGTCAATACCGAAGTACTGACTATTGAACTGATGACACACTGAGGGACAGATAGTTCACCAGCAGCGGTATCGACCAAGTGTTGTCGTTAATTTAGAAAGTTCATGCGTCCAAAGCGCTTTTCTGGATTTACCTTCACTCAAAGCCGAATATTTGAAAACCAAGGAGGTATATAAGTACTGAAACCTCGGACTGTTCAACCTCATATGTTTTTTTCCTCCTGCTTTTATATTGTCTGTATCTGTGACAGAATCGTGGAAAAAGTCTTTCCAGTTATGAGCATTTGTCGGAACGAATCTGATAACTCTATCTGATCAATTTGGGTCTATTTGACTTCCAATTTCCGTATGTATTTTCTACTAGATTTCTTTACATTGGCAAAAATGCCACGCATGTGAACATGCGTCACACATGCGTTCCACATGTGTGTCACACGCATGTGAAAGAGACGTTTCATGCCACGCATGTGACACATGTGTGAAAAACACATGTGATACGCATGATACACACATGTGATCATGCGTTTCACATGTGAATTATATGCGTAAGGAAATACACCTGTGATACATGCGTGATTACTACATGTAAAAGACATGGTGCCTGTATTAAATAATTTTCGAAATGTCCTCCTATTTGTCCAATTACCATGATTGTTTACATGTATTTCAGTTCTCATGTGAATTACATGCAATATCTAACACATTTTTCTAACACATGCGTGATTACTACATGTGTTTTCTCTGGCAAACACAGGCAAATTTTGTTCACGTAAATTTCATGTAAGATTCACCTCAGACAAGCTTATACATGAAACTCTCGTGCAATTAATGTTAAATTTTTCATGTGAAACTAACGTGAATCAAGCTTTCATGTTAATTTTTCTAAAATGAAATTAAGGTGAATTGAGCATCAATCACACAAATTCACAGTATTTGAGCATATTTTAGATAAGTTAATACTAATCTAGTACACATTCTATTTTGATATATATAAATATTCTTCTTGGTCTTGACTATGTGTTCGTACTTCCATTATATTTTACTTTCTTGATCCTAAACAATACAAAAAATATTTATCTATCAACTCCCAACTCACAATATCTCCAATGTAAGAGATAAGATGCAATAAAACAAAGAAGGCAAGCAAATATCCAGGTCACCTTAGTTCACTCCTAGAATTTTTTTCGGTTATGTTCAAGTCTCAATACTTTTTTTAAAAGTGATGTAAGGATTGGTGATTTATTTATAGAATATGTATGCACTAATGTATATTTCATTTTTAATATGTATGTACAAGTCATTTTGTGGTTATCAGTCATGAGACAATCCAATCACATTATGGAAATTGTCTTACTTGCAAAAGATGCCAATTTTTCTTTTGAAAGTTTGGAAGAAAAAAAGTAGTTCACCCTGCCACATATTCATGTGCCTGTTTCAAGCCAGGAACCTTTTCAGTGGTTGTCTAAAGTCTCATCCTAATAAAAAAAAAATATTTAAAGAATTTGGTGTTGATGGCAGCTCTTTGATTGGTACAGAGTCTGGTTAATTAAGTAGATCATGACATTGTTTAGACACCTGTTCATTGTTGAGGACTGTATGTTAGCATCTTAATGCCTTTCATGTGTTTTTGTTGTGTAGCTGTCTGATTTATTTATACCTCATATCTCATTGTATTAATAAACTGAAATAGAAAGTTCTGTGAAATATATTTTGATATACCATATTGAAAGTCTTGCTATTATTTACAACCATTAATATTTCCTTCTTATTTCATATATGTATTTCAGTTTTATATTTTAACACCAATCTTAAGGTTAAGGCAAAAAGAAAACAAATGTTGACAAACAGCAGGCATATACCATTAGAAGATCTCAAAGTTTGGCTGCACAATAAACTAAAAATTCTTGTTATTTCAAATATTTATATAAAATTCAGTTTAAAACATGCATTTTCCATTTTTAGAGTGTAATTGTCATGTTGGCACAATAATTTGAATTTGAATTGTATTATATTCTGAGAGTACTTGTTGAAAAAATATACACAATATTTAATTCCATGTGTTTTAGATTTCTTGAATACACCACTCCCATATAAATTATAATGACTACATGTCTGTTATTAATGTTTAAGAGTTCTCTCCTGCATGTAATTGCTGTAATTGCTATTTGTACCCAAGGCTTCTTTCATACAGTTGCACATATCCTTCTAAGATGTTGCTTGAATGATAAAATCCTGTAATACATTATCAGCCATCAGACTCTTGGAATACAGTTGCTGTAATAAAAAAAATAAACTGTAATCACAGAGATATGTCTCGCTTTTTGGTAATTTCGATAATGCAAATGTTGAAATTAAAATAGCAACACTTTAACAATTAAGATTTGCAAGTATTCAAAGTCAATGAACCATGACTGAAGGTACAGGGCAAAACAATCTCGATGGAAATTAGATGTGCC